ACAATTAAGTTCTCATAGTAAGCGCACACTGCAGCCCATGCGTGTTTATGCGTGGTTGCTTGTGTGTGTATGTGTTTGTGTATGTGTGTGTGTATGTGTGTGTGTGTATGCGTTTGTGTATGTATGCGTGTGTGTGTGTATGTGTGTCTGTATGCGTGTGTGTGTATGTATGCCTGTGTTTGCGTACGTGTGTGTGTGTGTGCGTGTTTCTTGTGTAAGCTGAAAGTCGCGAAAAAGTATTGAAATATCTATTGCTCCAAGGGTTCAGGGGATCTCGTAGTCGAGCAGTCTCGACTAGAGCTTTCTTACTTGTTTTTTTTATGAACGCAGTGGTTTAGTTTTTGCCAAGCTGTTGCCCAGGCGCATACACACACACACGCACACAGTTTCGTCCAGCAAATGAAACCAACAAGCCAGAACTAACTCATATGGGTCGTATGGGCGAGGGCATTAGCCATGTGTGTAGACTGGCATTTCTTTTGGCTCACACGATCGACCTTTTTCATGTTGGATTGTTCTGTGCATGTGTTTGGCAATTTCCTGGCTAGCAACGAGTTGACCACAAAAAAGGCAGAAGCCAAAATAAAAAGCAAATAGAGAGCACAACGAGCTGCAAATAAAAACCAAGCCCGGGCAATCAACAAATACATTTCCACAGCACCTTATAAAAGTATTTGAACCTTATGCTGACCAAATTTTATCGCGTTTGACACACATACACACGCAAGGCACACACATACACACTCACATGTACTTATTGGCATTGATTTTAGCTTTTATTAGCGTCAGCAGCCGCAGCACAGAAGTTGCCAAGGCGCACTTGACTTGACTTCATCGTCAACCCACCGACCCCCAATCGACCAAGCTTGGCCACCAAGCCCCAAGCCCCCAGCCCCCCAGCCCCCAAACTCCATTGGCCCACCCACCACTTCAGCTTCAATTGCCCTAATCCATTGCAAAGGCGGCGTGGGATCACGTACAGCATGCACAGCGAGTATATCTTTTTAAAAACATTGTTAAAGTTTTGCTTTAGTTGTGCTGATTTCACAGTCGCCCCAGCTCAAGCCCCGCTTTTTATGTGGCATATATATATGTATGTATGTATGCGTACATATATATTTTATTATTGAATTCCAGTTCAATTTGTTTTTATTGATTTGCCATTTTGCACTAGCCCCAGAGATGTGACGGAAATTGTCAATGTTTTACAATAGTTGCAGCGACCGCTCGTTACCAGCACCCTGCCAGCCCTCCGTTCCCCGCTGCCTGCTGCCTGCTGCCCGCTTGTTACCCTTTCGCCAGTGCGCCATCCCCAATTGCACCCCACCCCAGTCGACATCATCATGGCTTTTTGAGTTTTATGTGCACTTGATAAAATTTCAATAGCTTTGAGGTCTGCTCGTCGTTGTTTTTCGCCCGCTGCCTTTCTGGGCTGCCTTTAGTTTTATGTGATATTAAAATTGATAGCAAATCGCTGCTGCTGCTGCTGCTGCTGCAGCGCAGTTCAAGTGCACATTGCTCGTTGATATACTGTCGATGGGAGGGGGGAAATGGGGACGAAATTGAAGTGAAGCACAGATGGAACTGAAGCTAGTGTGAGTTAGCTCCTTTGACTTTTATGGCGCTCAGCAAGTCCTGGCGCTTTGGTAAATTGATTTTCATACGATTTGCAATAAAGCCAATTCCGTGCAGCGCACACGCACTGCGTGTCATGGCATGCTTTATGCTTGGCCAACATTGTTTGAATATTTGAACAAATACAAATTCAAAAGAAAAGCACAAATACATACTCGTGCGACACTATATATTTTATGACTTAGTTAGGAGTAGAGATGAGGCCAGAAAAAAGCCGGAAAGCAGCTTCAGCTTCAATAGTTTTCCTATTCAGTTGTCGTGCACGATATAAGCAAATTGCAATTACAAACTTACACGCTGACAAATCTGGCAATATAATTTGTCGATTGTGTCAACAACAATTTTAAAAGAAATTTTACTTTGCTCTGACCTACGAACCGGAAGTCCATTGTAGCAGCTTGCTTCGAAACGATTTTCATATAAAATGCATTCCATGGCAAATAAAATTTGGGGAATTCAATTAAAAATGTTGTAAATGTTCAATATTTAAAACACTGCTTAAACATTTATGACTGGCTATTATATAAAAGAAAAAAAAAAAAAAAAAAAATATATATATATATATATATATATATATATATATATATATATATATATAAAATCAAATCAAATAAACAAAATAAGAAAAAATGTCTCTAAAATGTTTGCCTGCCAGTGACAGAAATATTTAGCGTCCATTGAAAAGCTCGTTGCTGAAATATCAGAATTTTCCTGCTGTTGTTTATTGTCAACTTTAAACTTGGACGTCACGCGGTGTCATAGCATCGCCCGCTCAACAACAACCACAACAACAACAACAGCAACGTGGACAGAGAGACAGCAACAGCTATTGAAGTCACACATTCGACTAATGCAATAAAACGCAGACAATGTGTGAAGTTGAGCGTTCGAATTTCCGAGTGCATTTTCCATTTTGTACAGCGCATTGATGCACAGAGCGGAGAGCCAGGAGCCAGATGGGACTAGATGGGGCCGGTGCTAGTGGAACAAAGAAAGCTTCCACACATTCGCATGCACAAAAGCCAAACCTCGGCAAGCGTGCGTGTTGGCTTGGTGAGGGGCTGCGGGGGGGGCGTTGTTGCTGCGTAGGCGTGGCTGCGTGTATAATTTGCGATTTATGAGCGCAACGTTGACAGCAGCAGTGGGGCAGGGAGAGGCAGAGCATGCAGCGAGCAAGTGTAACACGTGCTATGCATCGTCTAATGCGACTAGCAAACACCTACATACACACACACACACACATGCGCAACGCACACTCGCTCAGTTACGGGAATAGCGTACTCATACGCAGAGAGCGGAACTCGCACAATGTGTCAAATGTCATATATGTGTCGCGTTAATAAATTCACTCAAATGTTTCAATGTGCCCGCTGGCAGAATAAAGTGCGCCAAACACACACACACACACACTAAGGCAGGAACAGACAAACAGCAAATCTATAGTGCAGCCCGCAGCATACCTCTGTCTCTTTTTCCATATATTTTTTTCATCTCTCTTTGTAGCACCACACTTCTGTCAATTGTCAATGACAAATACAATAGCATTGACATAGAATGAGTTTGGAATTACCAACAAATATAGCTTGCATTTTATTGAAGCTATTGTCTTCTATCTTGCAACAGCAGTCGAACTATATTGGCTTGGAAATGTGGCATGAATGCAATGCAAAAATGTGAAAAATATAGATTTAATTGCTTTAATACAATAAACAGATATGGAATTTACTAGAATATTAACTGAAAATGGAAAAAGATCCATATATAATCTAATCAAGAGAAGAAAGAGGAATAGAGGTAGATGAAGATGTAGATGTAGAGGTTAAGCTAAGTAAGCTACATAATACAATAGCGATACATGAAGATGTAGGTGTAATAGTAGAGGTAAAGCTAAGTAAGCTACAATAGAGGTAGAGCTAAGTAAGCTACATCATACAACAGAGGTAGAGTTAGAGGTAGAGGTAAAGGTAGAGGTAGAGGTAGAGGTAGAGGTAGAGGTAGAGGTAGAGGTAGAGGTAGAGGTAGAGGTAGAGGTAGAGGTAGAGGTAGAGGTAGAGGTAGAGGTAGAGGTAGAGGTAGGGGTAGAGGTAGAGATAGAATTTTGAGCGGATCTGTATGTTTTCACAATCTTTTAAAAATGGCTAAGCACCAGCATTCGAATACTCTTTTTGTTTTTGTTCTTTTACGCAATACTCAAGAGCAATAAATTATGAAAAGCGATCAATTGAAAAGCCTATTAAGTGCACTTTGTGAGCTCAAATGATGCCATAAATTGCGGATTGTCAAGACATGTATATATAAATAGCCGAGAAATGCGGCCATTAAAAATATAATAAAAAGTATATACTAAATGGACTTTTGGTATATTTAATGTTAGCAGCAGAAGAGTACGTCTTACATAAACGCCTTTTTTTTGGGCTGGCCGAATGTACTGCAAATAATGCAGAAGGCGGCGTATAAATAGTCTTTCCAAATGTGTCTTTATATAGCTGGGCATACATGAATTTGTCATTGAACTCTACTGCAAGGCAGCTTATGCTCGCCCCTCGTATCTCTGCTCCACTCTTCTTTTTTTTTAAATCTATTTAATTGCGAAATCACAGCCAAAAGTGGGCAAGGCCCGATGTGTTGTTTGTTGTGGTGCGGGTTTGTTTTCCTTTGCCTGATTTCTTGGCTGTGCGGCGCATTGAGGCGCCTTGCCAAGTGGCCAACGAGCTAAAACCTGGGCCGGATGAACCGTTGGCATTGGCCAAAAAGTCTGCCAGCACCGTCATAGCCAGTGCCATCCCAAAAAGCTTGGCACCGGCTCACAGTACGCGCCCGTCGCGATATTTTAGCTACGTTTGTCGTACAACAAAACTGCATAAATTTAATGCGGATTTTGGCAAACGATGCGACAACTTCGCTTCACGTGCCAAAGGCCCCACCGAATGCCATCGCCAAGCTCTGGCCAAGTCGACTCCTGGCAGAGGCCAACGACGCGGCTCGACGCGACGCACAGACCAACGTCATTTCGGAATTGCACATGGGCCGCGGGCAGCTGGAGTAGGGGCGCTATGTGGACATCTCCCAGGGCCTGCTCCATGGAATTCTATGCATTTCCGTGTTGGCATTTGTCGCTGCTTCATTGTGAGAACTGCACAGTGGGCACAAGCGCGCTAAATGAATACAATTAAAATACAATGCTTAGATATAGTAGATAAATCAAATGTTAATTTGAGCTATTCATAGATTTCATTTCAATATTCCCTCAGTCGTAGTTGGCGCTGACTTTCTTATCAAACAAAATTGCATCGATTCCGATTGACATTTAACTTGACGTTTGATTTCCTAAAGAAACTATTTTAACAACCTAAAAAGTCTTCGGCATGCCCCACATAATTGTGCTGCTGCAATCGACGCATCATTGGGCTTCCCGTACTTATCTCGAGTATGAGAGCATTGACGATTGCATGGACGCCCTGTGCCGCATTTTCGAGGGTTTCATGAGGCTTAAGAACTTGTACGTGGACAACAAGAACTACCTACTGGAGCTGTTCAACTTTCTAGACACCCTGGAGGACATCTCCTGCGTGGTGATGCAAGGCGACTCCAACATGTACACGCCACACAACAAGCTTTGGATCAAGGAGCAGCTATTTCTACGATTGGATCGCCTTGATTGTGATGGCATGGGCTACTGATATCAGTTGATGTGAGCCTGGAATAAACCATCTCAAATTGCGTTTCATGAATTCTTTGAATAAAAACATTTCAAACTGTACCACTGTCTGTCGCGCCTACAATTCTGTCACACGCCCCTCGCCCGTGCTCGTGCTCGGCCTGTGTATGCATTATAATTTGAGTGGCATGTTGAGAGTGGCTTTTGTTTTGCTTTTAATTAGATTTACATTGGCCACTTTTCAGTTGCGGCAGTTGCCACGACTCTCGGCTGGCTCTCTGTTCCGCCAACGTGCCGACGTTCCGCCGTCTCTCGATCTGCACGCTGCAGCATAACAAACACTGCGCCTTGTTTATTTTGGCGCCTTGTGCACTCATTGCCCCCATTGCCCCAATTGCACATAGACAACAGCCCCCGATGCCCCGCCTCTTCTGCAGTGATTGCCTGTTTTCTCTCTTTCCTTTTCTATTTATTTTTAGACTTTTTTTTTTTTAGTCTGTCGAGTTATTTTCAACAGCTTCACTTTTTGCACTTCCGCTTTGTGTGTCACTAATTGCTTTTGTGTTTCAGTATTTACAATTGTTTTGATTCATTTCTTGTTGACCCCACGCCTCCCGCCGCCCACCCTCCGCCTGTCAGCTGAACAGCCTTTGCAGCTTTGCGTGCTTAATTAAATGCACTTTCAGTGTCGTCAAGTCGGTGCCTCTCTCTCTCTCCTCTCTACACTCTCCTCTCACCCCCTCTCTCTCACACTCTCACTCTGCGCCATTCAATGTCCAGGCACCAATTGCCCAGAGGCTTATTCTCCTTTGCCTCTCTCTCTCCACCTCTCTCTCTCTCTCTCTCTGTCTCGCTCCTTCCATCTTTTGCGAATCACATTCTCTAATGAAATTTAATGAAATCTCACTGCATTTCCACGCCGCATTCCTAATTGGCACAAGCACTCAAATGCTTCGTTTGAGCACAAGTTTTCACTATATCGATTTGTGTGGGCAATAGCATAACACAAAACCCAATTAGTAGGTGCCAAGGGGCTCTGCTAAGGCTATGGCAACCAGTTCAGTTCAGCTGACCGAGCCATGCCGTAGCCATGATATTTCATAAATCAAAATATTAGGCGCCGCCTCAAGCCTTTGCCTTGCTTATCATATATCATTCTACAATATTTCAAACTGAGCTAACTGTTGTTCCGATTTTAATAAATTCTCATGAACGGACTTTATGCAATTGTGAACTGCTATACTAAGTAGGTAGATGTTATTCGTTTGTTGCTTAACTCTTTGTCTTTATTATAGGTAACGTTTATTTAAGATAGGTTGCATAGTTGTATAGTTATTTCATTTGACTTAAACAGATTTTTTCTTCCGCCAAAATAGTTTAATTTAAAATACAATAATAAATAAAATTAAAGTATATAAAAATATATATTGAATACTTCTAATATTTTATTTCTATATTTGATAATAATTGCAAATACACTAATAATTAAAATGTAAATCAATATAAATTAAACTAATATCATCTTCATTCCCTTCAATGATGAGGCGCCTGCCCACGGAATAGGGCCTCGGCTAAATGGCAAAACTAAATTGAACAAAATAACTCGGAAAAGTTGTGAAGAATAATATCTCGTAATGCTGCTGATGATGCTGCTAATTCAAAACCGGAAAAGCTTTTAACCAATTTACATAATTTGCTAAAGAGCGACCAAGTCGCGTCCGAGTCGCCTCCAATCCTCGGCGGCTATCAAGTCGTCTAGCTGAAGTCATTTTTCTCAAGCGTTGCCGGCAATGAGAACGACGACGAGGACGAGGACGAGGACTAGGACGAGAACGACGACTAGAGAATAAGGACGACAGCGACAAAAGACATTTTTAAAGAAATTAATTAATGAAATGTTGATTAACTTTTGCCAGCCCGTGGAGCCGGAGCCGTTGCCTGGCTGACCGGCGGGCTAAATGACGGTGGGCGGCGGATTTATTGGTGCGCCGTCTGAGATTTATGTCGAGGCATTTGTCATGGCAAAGAGTAAACAAGAGCGGGGCGTAACGCCTCTATGTGGGCGTGTGCCCAATGCCAGGGCGTGCGCATAATCCACAAAATAATGCGCACTAAAGCTATTTACAATTCGTGAATTTATTTTGAAATAAAAAACTTCAGCTCGAGCTGATGTTGGCGCTGCAAGCGAACAAAGCAAAACAAGTTGTCCTTCGTCTGCGTCAGATCTGGATTTGGATCTGGGTGCCCCGGGCTAATTAGCGTGAATGCTCCCGAAAGACACCGAAAAACGGAGAGCGGGTGGAGTGAGGAGTGAGGAGCAAGGAGCAGGCAGGCAAAATAGGGCCGCTACTCACTTACCCTTGCTGATCCAATTACGGGAACATGACAAACGGTATCATTTAGATATTTAATTTGTGAAATATTTGTGCCACCCACCCAGTTGTAAAGACTAACCTGAAGTTAAGACGGAAACAAATTCAAATTAGCAGACAAAATACAGACAAATTGGACAGATCGATGGCAGGCTATATGGGTAATAAAAGTAGAGCTTGAACAGCAAAAACTATAAGGCTAGCCCTGATTACACTCAGATCTATTGCTGATGCACTGTCACACGATTATCTTTTATAAATGTATAAAATTAATTATTGCAGTTACAATTATCACAGTAAAGCAACCCTAAGCACGCCTAATTGACTATATTGTCCAATATCAACGCGAATCTCGCGTTTCTATCTGCTATGGCGCTTGGCTGGAGAGGGTATTCAAACGCATTTGCAATTCCTGCAGTGCGATTAATCACTGTAGGGGTCCTTTGTTATTCGGGACTGGGCAAATGGGCGACATGAAACTCGTCAAGTTGTTTTGTGTTTGATTGATTTATGTGTTTGAGCCCATTGTTTGGCCCTTAATTAGTTTGACCAGGTGGCTGGTTCTGGCTGCCGCACCCAGCAATCCCCAATGCGTTGCGCTCACCAAGTTTCAGCTAGGCACTATTAGTCAAAGTCGACTCCATGGCCAATAAGTTGGCAGCAGGTTGACGCTGGCGAACGAACACCTTGGGCGTCGATTTATTGCGCATCTGATTATCAAATTGCATAAAAAATGGTTAGCCAATAAAACATTTTGACATGCAATTCATACCTTACATTTTGCGCTACTGCCACTGATGCTGCGGCTGCAGCCGCAACCCCTTTTTAGCGGCCCGCCTCTATAAATAACATGACGCAATCGAAGGGTAGCAAGAGGGCAGAGGGAAGAAGAAAAAAGCACATTATTTGGCAATAAAATGGAAATCGATTCGGGAATGGCGAACGGGCGAGCAAAGTTGACAAATTGCAGCCAAGGAACAAATGGAGCGCCGTAAGAAAAATAATATCGACTATCAAGGATTTCCCTGTTTCATTGCCGTTGCCTGCCTCATCCTGATGGCGGCTGCTGCTGTTGTTGCTGCCACTGCTGCTGCGGCTGCTGCTGTTGCGATTGCTGCTGCGACAATTTACATGCCCCAATTGCAGACCCGCCTCGTCCATTGCCTGAAACGTCGTTCAAATTGAAAATTTTTCGTAGATAAACACACACACACACACACACACATACATATACACACATACACATTGTCAGCAGGGCATCCTTTGTGGGGCTTTTGGTGCTGCTCCATCTGCGATTGCTCTGCCGTCTGCCCCACCAGCTCCCCGCGCCCTTCTGCTGCTGCTGCTGCTGCTGCTCGTGCACCCTTTGTACTTGTCATTTATGAAAATTTGTTTATTTTCGTAATGCTCCATTTGCAAATGTAGCCAAAGTAAATATTGGCGCTTCACATGGCAGACTGGGCATAGCCCTAACCCACTTTGCTGGAGGCTCTTACAATTTTGTGGTTTCGATTGCGGCGCATAATTCATCTGCCCTTGCTACACGTCCCATTTGCGGCCCGAACAACCAGGAATTGTACATAAATTGGTAAAATTGCATTTATTTGTAATTTATTTCGTTGCATTCATTCATCATCCATCACTCAAATATTCCAAACTAATTAAACAAAAATCCAATTGTTATTCGCTATACAAATTTTTTACATTTGTAAATTATTTTGCAGCTGGTTTTGACATGGAAATTCAACGGCTTTTCCATAAATTATTATTGCATGAATACAAAAGAATATTATAAATAATATTATTATAAATTAAATTAAAAATCATCAATTTTAAATTCCAAATGAATTAATTAAACATTAATTATAATTTACTTAAACTGTCAGACGGTTGCTTGGAGAAAGCAAAGACCTTGGGCTACTTCTGCAAATGATTATATGAACAAATTTTTAAATATATATATAAATAATAAATATAAGTTTATATATTTAAAATAGTAAACATATATCACATTATTATACAAATAAATATTATGTAATGCCTAAGTTAATAAGGCTTTTCATCTGCAATCCTTTTCATTTTAGTAAGTAAAAAATGAATTGAAATTCATATAGTGACTTCGGCAGTTAAAATCAATTGCAAGTCTCACTCTAACTCGATTACTGGCCTTAGCAAAATATTACATAATTCCAATTCATAACGCTTCCGGCATAGATTTTTAATAAATTTTCATAGCCGAGGCAAACGCCAAGTCAGCTGCAGAGTAAACCAATTTCAGGACATACTTATTGGGCATATTACGTCACAGTTGCTGCTCGGGTGTCCCTTGTCATATTCGCATAGTTGAGCGGGAGGGGAGGACGGGGAACACCGTCAAACGATACAAATATATAGCAAAAAGGCCAAATAAACAAAAGTCAACAACAAATACAATTGGAAAGCATGCAAACGATTGTTGTTCGTGCCATTGTTGTAGATATAAAAGCGCGAACGGGCCATAAAAATGCGGGGCCAAAACAGTCAAACTTATGTTGTTGTGACAAGAAGAGTCGAAGCTCAGCCCCACCAGAAGCCAAAATCGTCAACCGAGAACCCAAAACAAACCAACCAGACCCAGCCCAACCCCAGAGCCTGCAATCATTTCGTTTTG